TTAAATTAAGCTTACTTAACTGGAAGTGTCCGTCACAATCTAAATACTGATAATTATCGCAAAAAATATACTAAGAATTATCATAAATGCCAAATTGGTGTTGGTTCTTAGGCCAATTTTAACATTGTCCTTTGTTTATTTATGTAAAGTAAAAGTAAACTAATGGTTGCCGATTCTATTAGAGTATAATATTATCGTGTGTGTGTATATCAAACGCAGCTCACTATTCAATGAACAGAGGTAAAAAATCAAACTTATTCTGTCTTTATTAATAAGGGGGACATAGTATAGCATTATTATTGTACAGTAACAAGTTTTGCTATTGTACCTAGTCAGGTCATAAATTCTGTCACATGTGTAATATAAAATAATTGAAACAAGTTTATTCATTATGTAACCATTTATATACCAAAATGAACCTAACAAAACATAGATTCTTATGACAATAAAGTTTATTTTAAATGACCTCCGTGATTTTGAATACTGGCCTTCAATCTGCGCGGCCAGTCGTCTATCGCAGCACGAACGAGGTCCATGTCTATCGGCGGCTGCCTTAATCAAGGATGTCTTGAGTGACTCCAAATTGGCATGAGGCTTTTAGCACGCCTTTTCCTCCAAGTGTTGCCATATCTTGTAATCTTAACGGACTTAAATCTGGACTGGAGGAGGGCCAGACTTCGTGCCCGATGAAGTCGATTTCACGCGCCTTTTTCAGTCTTGTGTGCTCTTCGCTCTATGAGCTGGCGCCGAATCTTGTTGGAATACCGAATAGTGCCTGTTATCGAACATGGTATGAGAAACAGGTTCCACAAGGTTCGTCAGGACTGTATTTTGATACACAACTGCATTTGTTTTTACACCTTTCTCACAAAAATGTACCTCTGTTAAGCCCTAATAAGAAACTTCCCACCATACCATGAGCGAGGATGGAAAATGACCTCGTTGGACACGCGGAATACGGTTGCTCGCTTCTTCACTACTGTGTGCGTACACCTTATCATTTTGTTTGTTGTAGCTCTCTTCTACGGTAAAAATTTCTGCTGGAGTCCTAACAGACCAAGGGCGACCACTTCTTGACCTGTCATCTACACTAGAGTCTTCATTGTATCGTTTGATGGTACTGTTATGAGCCTCGGGAAGAATGGCTTTTTAAAAAAAAACAATTTTATTTATTTAGTAGGACAGCCGTCTGGTTAGGATGTTGATGTTGATGTCTGATCGAGACTGCGGATCGTATGGATGGGAATGGCCTGAGCTCCTCATATTTGAAGAGTTTATTGACTACAATTGCTATTCCTTCTTTCAAATGTTTAAGCCTGGGCGCACAGGTACGGTTTCCTGATCAGGAATTCCGATTTGGAAACTTAAATGCACGTCCTTAAATACAAAGTGTTCAACGAGGCGCATACTATTCTTATTTTTCAGAATGGAAAAAACCTTACATTCTGTTCGGATTTTAATAAATAAAGAAACCTAAACGTCTGCGTTAGGCTCACAGAATACCGAATCTGAATTCGTGATCAGGGGCCCAATGGCCTAAGGGGATTGCTATGGTTTTCGCTATCGCTTACGATTTCATATTGCTATTTCTAACCGCCGTAAAGTTTCAAATACCTCATGCTCACATTCTTTAATATTGTAATTACCAATTCAAAAGAAAAAAAACAAGCGCGAGGTATTTGATAACCTTCGGCGGTCAGAAATAACAAAATGAAATCGTAAGCGATAGCGATAGCCATAACAATTCCGTTAGGCGTGGCCCCCTGGGGGTCATTCGCCTAGCGGGATTGTTATGGCTTGTAAGCCATTAGCGCTAAAAGAGTGAATCAAAATTAAAATATCATTTGATATCCATTCCCAAAATGCACATTTTTACTACCATACCAATACCAAAGCCAAAAAATATAGTTTTTATAATTTTTGTCTGCTTGTCTGCATGTATGTCCGGGATAAACTCAAAAAGTACTGCATGGATTTACTTAAAATTTGGCACGAATATTATATTAGTAAGAAGTCGGGTCAACATATTATAGGCTACATATTATCACGCTATCACCTACGGGGAACGAACTGTGAATCTTTACTAACTCCACGCGTACGAAGTCGCGGGCGGCCACTAGTTAATAAATCAATCGTTTAGACCACCCCAAGGTACTTAATAATCCCCGAGATATTCACTCCCTTACTGAAGTGACAAAATTGTGGTATATACCGACTTATTATCCTAACTAAAAAGTGTGAAAGGTAAATTTAAAAATTCAAAATCCCGATTGCTTCAATAATACTTGAAATAAAACTGAAAAGAAAGAAATAAGTCCAGTAGTCTGAATGATCACATTTTTTCAATAATGGGTCCCAACTATTGACGTAGCTTTGTTTCTTACTTAAGAGAATTATAGACTACTGGACCTATTTCTTTCTTTTCAGTTTTTATTTCAAGTATTATTCAAGCAGTCGTTATTTTTGATTTTTAATTTAAGGTAAATTTTCAACACGTTTTTTTGATGTATTATTCCATCGTGGCCTATCAATAGTCAGATGATCGAACTCTTTGTTACTCTGTTTCGTAATTGTTTCATGAATTAATTGAACGTCGTATTTTTTTTATTTGTTACATCTGTATATATATTTATTACATTTCTTAAAACTTATTAAGAAGTACGAGTTTGTTTTAGTATAAAATAGCTATGTCCATAGATGAATGATTGGTCTCGCTTCACTCGACTAGATACATGCGGCAACTCATTATTGTAGTTGCAATGGTGCTATGAAATGTCATAAATCGTGTAGCCAGCTGCTCAACTGCTACCCAAGTAATAGGGAAAATATTGTAGGTTATTATAATCAATATGTACCAGGTTATAAATGTAGCTCATAAAATACTTGAAAAAGATGCACTTAATTAAATGCGAATATATCAATAATTTAGTATACGTATACGGTTAGGCGTAGATTTCATCTTCAAAAAATGCTTAGTCCTCAAAAATTTTTTTACATGTAATATTTACTTGTACATTATAACAGTGATTCAAGTGTGATACTTTGGTCACTATAAACGAGACATTATTGTAACTCGGTAAGGAAGCTGAGTGTGTAATGATCAATGCGCACGAGCTGCATAGGACGTTTTTCAACACAATTGCGATGAAAAAAAAAAATTTGTTGTTAGTAACTGTTATAAAGTTCAACTGACCTTTGGAGCTTTGTTGCCAAGTATTTTGACATTACGGAGCTACTTTCTTAAAGGTAGTTTAAAAAAAACTTTTCAAAATCGGTTGGTGACAATACTTTTGACTTTCGGCCAATATATCCATCAGAACGTCGCTTTAGGAATGTTGTCATGTTACTATATGTTCATAAATCAATTGGCGGCAACAGCCTATCACTCGCGTATCGTGCCTCGATAAGTATTTCCAGCGGGGTTGAATTAAAATGGCGCAAATATTATTAATAAATGCGCTCACAGGTTCAATAACGGCACAGGAATATTTTTTAATAAAAATAGAACCGATTTCAAAAATACTGAAAATGTAAAATAAGATTTACCGTGAAGTCGATCGTTATTATTATCATGATCCCTGCTAAACATATATACCTTGGTATCGACTTCAAGTATATTAGGCGTTAATTTTTTTTTTCAAGTCGGTTTTATTTTTATTGAAAATGATTTCATTTTCCCATTTGTAGTGTTACACTGAATACGCTACTAGTTGGAAATTGTACAAGCGTAGATCAACACGGGTAAAACCGTGAGACATTGCTAGTAAATTATATACTAAAACCTTCCCAGATTAATGCATATTTACGCATTAATATGCGCGAAAACCCTAGCTAGCTTTGAGATTATCATGGTCAAAAATGCATTCATACAGATTAAACTGAGAATATCCTTTTTTGAAGTCTGTTTAAAGACCGACTATGCAGCCGTTTCGGCTGCAGCAATATAAAAAATCGAATAAACTATATGTAGGTATAAACAAATGTTTCTTAATACGTTAGTTAAGTTAATTTGTGTTTATAAATATAAAATGAATTGTTTATTTGTCATCTTAATCCTAAAATAATATAATAATATGATGAAATTAAAAAAGAAATACACAACAAGAATGGTAGTTAATATGCTGAATTGTGAAACTAAAAACTGTGTAAATAATAAGAGTCAGTTTACGAGAAAATGTGTTGAAAAAATGTTATTAAAAATAATAACAGAATAATCATATGAATAAAAGGTAGATTACAAAGATAAAACTAGGTTAAGTTTAATAGTAAGTTTAAATTACATAGCTTCAATAATAAAAACACTAACAATAAATTCACATTATAAATAAAAATTTCAACCATAGGGACTTGATTCTTGTATACGCGGCAACACTTGAATGACGTTTAGGGTTCATGTTATTTTATGTTGAAATTTCGAAAATCTACTATACTTATTGATGTTATCCCTTATTATGTGATCCCAGCGTCCTTGTTATTTATTGTTGTATTATTTCACTACATAAACTGGCATTTTACTTTCGATTAACACCAAATTTTAATAAAACATTCGCTACGTACACCCCATACACAACTGTCAGGTTGACTGGCTCGGTGAAAGCTCGGGTATGCCGATTTCGGCATAGTATTTGTTGCCGCATTAAAGAAGTACGCCGGCGGTATCTAGTCGAGTGAAGCGAGACCAATCATTCATCTATGGCTATGTAAAAATTTGAAAATACTTTGCGAAATTTTGACCAAAATCCTAAGTAATGTCTATATACTAAATATGTAATTTCAAATGCCAAGTAGATAATATTTTAAAGAAGTCATAGGGAGGCGGCAATACCTGTCACATTATGCGGAATTCGACCTAATTGTATAAGAATTAGTCAGCAATCAAATAGACTGATGTTAACTATGGGTAGTGGATAAGTTCTCTGTCGTTATGCTTAAATTGTCCAATGCATCTCGGCGTCAATTACTTAACTTAGTTCTTAAAATTTATAAAAGCTTTCTATCACAGATAAATGGTTCAGAACCAGTGCCAGGGATGTCACGACAAGAACATCCCCGTCCTGAAAATGCAGTTAATGACGTAAGTTATTTTATTATTACCATATTTGTATGCGCCATGCAATCCTGCGCAATAATTGTGTCCTTATTCTTATACTACTGGGTGAAAGTTTGCTTTTTTCACGCTGTATTAAGCAACGAAAGGATGTCGTTTACAACAAAAACAACAAAATCAACTTGATAGTAATAAAATTAATAGAGCGCTCCCACCATTTTGTCGATAATAAAACGAACCAGTTTTTTATATTAAGGTCCGACAAATAACGCCGCCCCACCTGATGTTAAGTGACGGTGGAGTCCAGGCATGAAAATAGCTGATGCAGCAGTTTTTACCTGTCAGACCAGTCATCCTCACCTTGCCGGCTTGTACTGTAACTTCACTTCACGCCACTTTTAAAGGACCCTTTTATTAGGAGGAGAAATATGTGAGTGGGTAAAGCATTCCGTTTGTGGATAGTGCGATAAAGAAATGTTTCACCAATTATTATCTTTGTTTGCATTGGATTATTGGTCATAGTAAGTCGGTGACAAAGCAGGCCAGCGCGCGTGGTCCTCTCAAATAAATGAGAAGTTGGGATAAGGAAGAATAGCTTCTCAGAATACTCGCCTTAGTGTACAGACAATAGAACGCGCTTAAGGCGCTGTGTGTAGGTATTTTAGGGGGTGAATGACGCAAACCCTGTTGACGTTCACATCTTTAAAGTTGTTTTATACTGAAGCGGACCGTTAAAATATAGTCGTATTATATACATACAATACATTACATACGACACAAAAAGATAAATAAATGATGTCTTAAGTTGGTTTATTTGACATGTAATCATACAAACTATGAACATGTCAATAATTTAGTTTTAAAGTTGTGTACAACTACATGAAGCTGAAACTAGCAGACATTGTAGCAGGCAAGTTTTCGTACCTCAAAAAGAAAAAATGGAACCCTTAGCGGTCATTCCCACGACTAAGGGTCCTTCGTATAACTTCCGTCACAATGTTTAATTTTGAATTAATTATTTGTACCGTCTATTTAACTTGAAAAACACGATTATACAGTATGCATTAAAGGGGACTTTAAATTTTTAAATAATGCCTTATATTGATTTTGACTACACGATCATCTTACGGAGCGCCGTGGATCGTCCAATGTACTTTTTGGACAGGTTTCGGGCACGATTTTGTTCGTGTTGGAGTATCTAGGGTAATTAATATCGTTAACTAATGGGCGGGCCGGCTCTCCTAAGCGCATTACCTCTGCAGAGCGCGTAGTGCTTGCTGTATCAACCCTCTGTACCCTTTGTACGAGTTTTACAATTACGAAAACTATGATAGTTTTCGTGAGCTCGCACTCGTACTTAGAGTACTGATTTTATTGTTTTCGTTTCAATACAAATAAACAGTGTTTAAATTCCATCATTAAATCATTTGCGTCTTCTTAGATTTTAAGTATATTTGGTTATTTTTCACCAAAATGGACATAGAAACATAATTTACAATTACGAAAACTATGATAGTTTTAGTGAGCTCAAACTCGTACTAAGCGTACTGATGTGTGATATGCGTGCGGGTGCGAGTGCGTTTCACGAGTGCGCGTCCGTTCATTTGGCGAGCGCGGTTGACTTTTTAGTTTTTAAGTTTCTCTCTCTCTCCTTTTGTATAAGGCCTTATACAAAATAAATAACTGCGACATTTACCATATTTATATCTTTCTTTTAGTAGTCCTTAGAGTTATTTTTCTTTCTTCCAAAGGACAATGGGCAAAACGCACCCAGCTCCGCCAACAATGTATTTAGTATGAATCGATAGATCTATGAAAAACTAGACTTTTTTATTATGACACCGAATATAAATATCCTGGGAGTCAAAAGATATGACACCGTAAAAAATATCCTGGTAGTCAATAGATATGACGCATGGACATATTTAAGTAGCTGAATATATTCATTTTATAATACCTTCATTTTATATTATTAGTAATCATAATAATATGCCTTATCGTAGTATACAACCAGATATACGACAAAGTCTGCCGACCATCCTGCGCTTGCTCTTACGAAGACATTTCAAAACGGTTTACGAATGCTGAAGGACTTGCAGTTGCAAATAGTCGACTCGTCTTACTTCGTTGTGATTGTGCGCTCCCTGCTACCTGATTGAATTTTATCTAACACGCTTTGGATATTGGAACACATACATAGTATGGATAAACTGGAATTATGTGTTTCCCTCCGAAGTCCGAAGCGTGGACAAGTTTGTGTAATCTGTGGTCGCTCCGTTTTACATAGAAGACAATTAACTATAACGAACAGAATGTTCAAAAAAACCCAACCCATGCGGGGATTTTTATATTTACTCTAGCGCGGCAGAATAACATAAGGGGACATCCTTGCACCTTATGAAGTACTCTTATGATTCCTGAGCACCCTATGTAGGGTCGAACTAACTAAATTAATTCCTTGTTTCATTAATGTCTTTCGTTATAGTACTTGTACATATTTAACTTAAAATAACTGAAGATCCCCGGGATGGAATTTGATGCGTTTTGGCACAGATGATCTTGACTATAATACCTTTCAAACAAATGTAGTTTAAGCCGTGGCGGACATGGGTGCAGCGTCCATACAGTTTTGCCCAATGTCCTTTTACCTTCTAGTCCAGGCAACGAAAAGGTATAGAGGGAAATGCTTAGAACACAGTTTTTGACTTCGTAACTTTGTTTGGACTAGTTAGGAGGTAAACATATCAAAAGTCCCCGCCCGTAGCCCTTAAGCCGGGGGGAAGGGGGGGATTGAAGGTCCCATTTTTAGGTTTTCCGCATATATCTCGGAAACTATGCATCCTAGAGACATGAGACTTTCACAAAACTGAAAGCGGATTAAATTTGCTACAAGTCTTATTCAGTCAAGTTTTTTGATATCTTGTATAGTTTTCGAGATATTCGCTCTTAAAAGTCTGTAATTATGGAAAAAAACATCTTCACATTTTTGCTCTATTTGACCGGATAACTCTTCAACAATGCCGGCCGTAGGGTTCTTGGTTTCACCAGTGAGCAGCATGCAGATTTCGGACAAGCCCGCCAAAACAAGGATGGAGCTGACATTGCCAAGCTCACCGATTGGTTTGAGAAATTTCCTCCCTTCCCAGAGACCAGAGACATTATCAAGTCACCAGAAATCCAGGAAGCAGCAGCGGTCTTTTCACACCCTTTCTCCACCACCGCTCAAGTACAAAAGGCAGGTGAAATCTGCATCTTAAGGTGGTATGGAGCTCCAGCGAAAGAGATTTCCCTCAATGCCTACAGGTACAAGTCATTCTTGAAATCAGTGGCCACCATCAAGTCTAATATCTCTTGTCTTCCTCCCACCGAGGGAGCAGTAAAACAGCATGCCCAGGAAGTGGTGGCAATTTTTTTTCCATAATTACAGACTTTCAAGAGCGGATATCTCGAAAACTATACAAGATATCAAAAAACTTGACTGAATAAGACTTGTAGCAAATTTAATCAGCTTTCACTTTTGTCAAAGTCTCATGTCGCTAGGATGCATAGTTTCCGAGATATGTGAAAAACCTTAAAATGGGACCTTCAACCCCCCCCCCCCCTCCTCCCCCCGGCTTAAGGGCTACGGGCGGGGACTTTTGATATGTTTACCTCCTAACTAGTCCTAACAAAGTTACGAAGTCAAAAATTGTGTCCCAAGCATTTCCCTCTATACCTGTTTTTGAGCATTCGTTGCCTGGACTATTCCTATTCTTTCTTTCATGCTGGCGCTACACTCTCCTATCTCTAGTAGGGGTGTGTAACGTTACAATAGTAAGAAACGAAAGTGAATAATGATTAACAATAATATTACTATTTATTCGTAAGGGGCCGTTTTTATCTCCGTTTCAGCTTGACGCTAATGTTATCGTAAAATATTGACGCAGACAGTTGCAGTTCGTCGTACCCGACTTCCAAAAGGCGGCCGAAGGTCACGTAGCGGTGACCCATTCCATTGAGGTCTATTCATAGCCCTACTATAGGCCGCCCGCGACTTCGTCCGCGTTAACTTTGTTTTATTTGCGAATCCCACAGGAACCCGACATTTTCCGGGATAAAAAGTATGCTATTTCTATCCAGGTTATAAATTATATGCGTGTTAAATTTCATCCAAATCCGTTTAGTACTTTTTGCGTCATTCAGTAACACATAAACACACAAACATACAAACTTTTACATTAATAATATTAGTAGGACTAAAACACTTTTTTAATGGGCAGGAAACGCGATTTATTGATTGATTACATTATTCTTGGATTGGAAGTTTTTGATCCATATACGCTCTTGGTTGTGTTTTTTGTTTTCGACATTAAAAGGGTCAGACAATCAAAACTTTAAGTAAAGTGAGTAAATTTTTTACGTTCCTATGGACTTGATTTTTAAAAATTGACCCACAGCACAAGATATCAAGTACCTATGTATACGTTCATTGTATACACTAATACTACTCAATAGGGGTGATGACTGGGTATAGTAAAGAAAATTCTATTTAATCTGTCAGTTAGATGATCAAAAATAATGGACACGTATTTTTTCTTTGGGCAATCAACCAAAAAATGACAAAGTTATAGCGCGTCAAAGTTTGAGAGTAGGGGCTCGTGACGTCACTTTTGAGTGAATTTTCACTTATATGTGTACTCAAACGTGACGTCATGCGACTTTTCAAATCAATATATCTCTGCAATATTTATATTATGTGAAAAAAGAAAAAATACGTGTCCAATACTTTTTGATAATCTACCTGATAAACGAAAAAAAAAATAGTAATCATCCCTATTCTCCATATTTTATCCTTGAGAAAATAAATATGTTACGTCTGGCGGTTTTTGGGACCTGTATTATAAGAAACAACATATCCGCACAATTATTTTGTACAATTGATCAGATCAGCGATATCTACATAATGAATTGAATACCGAAATTCTTTTGTTTATGTTGCAAACACTAACAATCGGTGACATCGTTCAGACACAGCTAACTATATTAAG